AAAAGCGAGAGACGGGGTTCGAGTTGAAAGAAAAACAGTATGCGGATATACTCTGACTACTGGAGACACCTTTTTATTTCGAATTTCGAATTCGGCCTGCGTCGAAAAGGAAGCAATATAGCGAGAGACGGGGTTCGAGTCTACTGAAAAACAGTATGCGGATATACTCTGACTACTGGAGACACCTTTTTATTTCGAATTTCGAATTCGGCCTGCGTCGAAAAGCACTGAAGCAATATGGTCGTTGGGGATTATCAGCAGTTCGCACCTCACGAATCACCATAGGGATTTGAACCCACAACCCTCCACACAGGGGTTCGGACTACACCATTCTGCTAGATGGTAAAGCAAACAGAATATGGTAAGACTCCACGTTCCACTTCCCACCAGACGATCTGGTAGGACTGGCTTACCGACTGATGGACTGCTAACTAGCCATCCCAGTTGCCTTGCACAGTTCAAACTCTTCTCCGAAAGGCTTCAAGTTAGGGTTTCCCCAGCGCGTCGTGAGAAGCGCACAGTCGGTGGTTCTTAACAGGACTGATAAAGTTGTAAAATTTTTCACTTTCCTCATAATAGATAGACTGCATTTGTAGGATTATATCTGAGTTTATCACAAACGACTCAGGGCTACAGATTTCTCTAGTTCCTCCGGCCCCATATGACAATCGATCTCTGATTGTTTCACCAATGAATAATATTGACCGTCAAAATAACCCAGTGAGAAACCACACAAAGCACTCACCTGGTGTGAGATTTCCAGAGTCAACTAAGGCCAATTCCGCTCCGACGGGTTGGCTGCCCTCCTCCGCACTGGACGGCAAAGTGCATAGTGTGTGGTAAAGTGCAGCCAACCTGTCGGCGTCCACTTGCCAGCGAACAAGCCACGAAGCGAACAACTCGGTCAAGCATGCTGGATATGCAAGAAATGAGGTGTGAAAACATGTTGTATTACGGATATGGGCGGAAAGTGGGAGGAAGGAAGGTGAGAGATAAGCAAATAATGAGTTTGTTGACAGCAACCACTATTAAGGGAGGCGAGACACTCCTCAAACAGGCGACGAAACTTATATTGGCATATCGTAGGGGTACGCAAACTAAAGTCCGTATGTAAAAAAAGTGCGATGTGATGACAAGAAACTTATAGCATACGCCACTATTACGTGTCTTATTCGTCAAAATGTTACCACCACATATTCGATGCTGTTCTAGCTTCGTCCAATCTTATGTCCCATTGGGAACCTGGATTCTATGCTATGAAACGTTGTAAAAAGGATAGGAGAAAAGATATTAACAACATTGGTTAAAATATCCACGTATACATGGACTCGGTAGTCAGCAGCAAACCCGAAATCTGGAACAAGGGAAAGTGTGCCATCAGATTTAGTGCAGGCGCGTGTACCCACATAAAGTTATTGATTATGAAATCAAAGTACATCAGTGCGCAGTTCAATTCAGTCCCGTTTGGTTCACAGTAGTTTCCCTTTCTTTAGTTTGGTTATCAGCAAGGGGAAGAACGAGGGAGGTAGTAATCTAATGGAGGCAGTGGTTTGATCAATGCATTGACAATGAGCTGTTATAGGCTGCGCGCTGAGAGTAACGGATTTCATTCACGAAGCTCGTATTCAACATAAAATCCACACGGTAAGCCATTGCAAAACCTTTATAACCAGAAGAGAACAGTCTGTTCACGACCCTGGTTAACGGTGGCAAGGTTAAGAACGTGTAGCGATGTAGCAGCTTATTGGTTTTCGAAAGGACGAAGTATGAACCGATGCTATGTCGACCAATTTTGGCAAGCTAAACAAGATGCCATCAGAACACACGGCTTCCCTCTGCCTGATGGGATATTGCTCGCGTCCCCATTATGTCACAACGTTAAAGGTACAATGTGCTTAAGAATTACGAGTATTCGTTGTAAATACGTTTATCTAAATATGACGCTTTATTTCATTGATCCACGGCTTGCACAATGTTCCGTTACCCATGGAACGGAAGTAGTTTCAAAGTGGTTGAAATAAGTTATGAGGATAAAAATTGGACCAAATGATCCACTTCAAAAATAGGTAGGATGGAAACGGAAAAGTATGGGAAACGCACCCCGTCCCCGTTTCAAAGCTCGCCCCAGTGTGATGGGGAAACCAGACACCTGTAGCGACTCGGTCTTCCTCGCGGAAAGGTGGTTGGTGGCCGGTAGTTGAACTAGCAGGCCCAAACTAAATAGATCATCCAGTTGCGCGCATGCATCATGCCACTGATCAACCAACTTGCTAAGGACTGTTTGTGACAAGTGTACGGAGGGGGGACTTGGCCCCGGTGATCCGAGTGTCACCCGCTGCTCAATCTCTTCCGAGTCGCCTGAATGAAAATTTGTTTCTGTTGCTGGATTCGACTCCATGGAATTCACAAATGCTTCAGTCTTGATGCGCATTAGAACTTCATTGTTCTCCTAAAATGGCAAAGGAATTGATTAGTAAAATCACATCTTAAATGTTGCCAAAGTATTGGTGAAATGGTTTTGGCCGTAAAATGAAAGATACAACAGAAGAGGCGAAGCAACGACTTACTCGCGAGATAGACCACAAGGACAAAAGAAGATCACTGCCTTCTTCCGAAGCTTGCCACAGCGTGTAGACCAGAGAGCGTATGATCAGACTGATCAAGTAAGCCGAAGAAATATGCGTACTATCCGAGCAGTAGGAGTAAATCTGAGCGATTAAACGCTTAAAATCCGAATCAAAGGTCATCTCTCCCCTGGTTGTCATTCCGGATGGAGTTCGGTGAACCACTGAGGCTGGATGACAGAAGCGACCCAGCAAGTAGGTGTATAGTCGGTGCATTCGGGCGATAAGTAGCGGCATATCACGCCATAACTCCCAGTAGAGTAAGAAGTTCGTCAGCGAATACTAAGTGAGAAGTAGAGTGAGGAAACAGTGAGGTGAAACAGTCATGGATAAACTAGAGTAAGGGCGTGATAATTCTATAACTGAGGAAACCACAGTGGAACCCCCTCACAAGAGAGACCAATCCAAAATAAGGTTATTCTACTATGGTCTTGGGTTTGAACCCATTCCACACCCTCAATTAAGACCAGTTGATGTGTCATAAAGGTGTAAATTACCATCGTAACAGAAGTTACGGCTCATACACCTGGTTCCCCATATGGTGGCACGAAGTGCAGTGCTCATCCAAGGAGTGTGCGTTCACCGGACCGGTCAAAATCGAACTCTTACCGGAAGCGTACTCTCTCACAGAGCGAATGGATCGAGATAAAGGAGTCAAATATACGTGGATTAAATAGTTTTCCAAAACAAAACGCTATACTAGCTGCAATGGAATGAAAAGTGTGTTGAACATTTTCCCATCAACAGTTGAGACGTTGACAGTTCGCTATACTTACGACTGAAGTTTAGGATGGATATCTGATGCACGTATAAGCGAAAACGGGTAGTTGTAACCAGTTTGGGCTGTCATTCTGTCGGATGTTACTTCTGTTTTCTATCGATATTCAGTTCCTAGTTGAAGTCCTTTGTGACACTAAAAACACCCTATTTCCATTGTTGTTTCTGATAATAACTTACACAATAGCTACCACTGGATCAGGATCCCTAATGAAAGTAAAGTGCACTCAAATCAAACAATCAGCTATAAATTATTTAATAAAGGTAAGCTGGTTCCAGCTGCTACAGTTTCGGTCACCGGGAAATAGAAGAGCGTGGGAGGCAGTTGAGCACTGGGGGTCGTGATACGACCAATCAGTTTGCGAAACTGGGCAGCTACGCATGGAAGGCGACAGCTTTGATTCATGAGTGCCACTGACTGCCTGATTCTCTCATGTCTGCCAGTGTCATTAACCATTGGTGAGCTGAGTCCAACGATCCCCATCCAAGTAGCCAGCAGCTGTCGATTCAAATGAATTTACATGAGATTCCAAGAGTAAGTGAGTTTGTTGACCGACATTTGAACGAGCGGCATATCACGCCATAACTCCCAGTAGAGTAAGAAGTTCGTCAGCGAATACTAAGTGAGAAGTAGAGTGAGGAAACAGTGAGGTGAAACAGTCATGGATAAACTAGAGTAAGGGCGTGATAATTCTATAACTGAGGAAACCATTGTGGAACCCCCTCACAAGAGAGACCAATCCAAAATAAGGTTATTCTACTACGGTCTTGGGTTTGAACCCATTCCACACCCTCAACTAAGACAGTCGAGGTGTCATAAAGGTGTAAATTACCATCGTAACAGAAGTTACGGCTCATACACCTGGTTCCCCATATGGTGGCACGAAGTGCAGTGCTCATCCAAGGAGTGTGCGTTCACCGGACCGGTCAAAATCGAACTCTTACCGGAAGCGTACTCTCTCACAGAGCGAATGGATCGAGATAAAGGAGTCAAATATACGTGGATTAAATAGTTTTCCAAAACAAAACGCTATACTAGCTGCAATGGAATGAAAAGTGTGTTGAACATTTTCCCATCAACAGTTGAGATGTTGACAGTTGGCTATACTTACGACTGAATTTTAGGATGGATATCTGATGCACGTATAAGCGAAAACGGGTAGTTGTAACCAGTTTGGGCTGTCATTCTGTCGGATGTTACTTCTGTCTTCTATCGATATTCAGTTCCTAGTTGAAGTCCTTTGTGACACTAAAAACACCCTATTTCCATTGTTGTTTCTGATAATAACTTACACAATAGCTACCACTGGATCAGGATCCCTAATGAAAGTAAAGTGCACTCAAATCAAACAATCAGCTATAAATTATTTAATAAGGATACGCTGGTTCCAGCTGCTACAGTTTCGGTCACCGGGAAATAGAAGAGCGTGGGAGGCAGTTGAGCACTGGGGGTCGTGATACGACCAATCAGTTTGCGAAACTGGGCAGCTACGCATGGAAGGCGACAGCTTTGATTCATGAGTGCCACTGACTGCCTGATTCTCTCATGTCTGCCAGCGTCATTAACCATTGGTGAGCTGAGTCCAACGATCCCCATCCAAGTAGCCAGCAGCTGTCGATTCAAATGAATTTACATGAGATTCCAAGAGTAAGTGAGTTTGTTGACCGACATTTGAACGGAGATGCGCTGCTGTCATGAACCTGACTTTGAACTCAGTGCGACAGTGTTACTGTCAAGCGGTATTATAAAACATAGGAACTTTCGGCAGCCAACATAGGCCAACATAACTGCGTTGATCGGTAGCTTTAATTGTGTGAAGCAGATCCCCCGTTGCAGACTCAAAGTGCCGCAGTGCATGAATTAAATGAAATTGATGGGTGGGTATGAAACCCGATAGAGTAAGAACAACGGCCAGTCTCGTCCTCATTGTTGGCTCCCTGAACATAGAATTCGGTGTATGCACAGCACCTGGTTTTCTATGAAGGCTAAAAGATCGCCTCTGTTAAAGGCTACCTATCAACTGTAGTCCAAATAAATTCGGAGATGGGTAATTTCCTTATCCTCTGAAAGGCATCCTCTCTGAGGGGGGAGCAGGACTGAATCCAGCAATTCGTATTGTGAGTGTGCTTCAGGTAGACCCCAACGACGAATACCACATGGAAGCAAGTGAAAAAAGAGACCTTAAGTCGGCAAATGCGCATCAATACATGCTGCCCTTCAGAAATGAACACTTTGTGGTTGTTTGCTGCACACAAATTTACGAGGGAAAACGCTGTGAGAAGAAATCAGAAGAGCCCCTAAAATAGTGAAATCATTCAAATCACAACCTTGATAGGAATGCACAAGTAGGTTAGGCTACCCGGATGGGCTAGACCGAGAGGAGAGAGCCAATGTTACTACACATACGTGGGGCCACGCGACTCGTGTCCATAAGCGTGCCGACGAATTCTGGGGAAGCATATCTATACCGACTGGGATGTATCTATGGTGTGATAGGTCCACACAGTGGACTGTGCTTGTGCAAGCTTGAACATACGGGCCGCTGTAAGCCAATGCAACCGGGTGCTGTGATAGGGTAAAAATCTCCTACAGTAACCTCAGACGGACTGGTGGGAAACGGTCGTTCCAGGGAAGTGGCCTATAGGTTAGCGATCAGGGTTTGTCTGTGAATTGCAATGCACTCTGGGAAATATGTATTGTGTCCATTCCTAGAGAAGAATGGCCTCACTTGTTGTTACTAGAAATGGTCGTAGCAACAGACAAAAACGGTGAAACCATGAGAATATTTGAAGGTGTAATGCAAAAATGCAATTTTCCACGTGCTACAAATTACGGTACATTTTCTTCCAAAAAAGTCGATGGCTTGCTCTATGGTTCATTATGGTCACGTCAAAGCAACGAAACAGTGTTTCTGCCTACACACACACACATCCGCTTTCTATTCGCCAATAGCGATGGGGGAATTTCGAAAACGCTGCTGCTTGATGTGCAAGACACCACATTCAGTGCAGTCATCGACAAATAAACGCAATGCGTGCTCCCAGTCAGATGATCGGCAATCGACGAGGTATGGAGTGTAGGCTGTGATCCTGCTTGGCCTGGATGTTGTGTCGATAAATCTGACTGGTGCAGCTGTTTTTGTATTCCCGGCGGCACGAGCGCTCTCCCACACGCAGTCACAGTTGCTGTTCTATTTTGTCTCAGAAGGTGGCCATGAATCTACACTTGAATCGGCAGATGATGCTGGATCAGGAGGATGATGATAATGTAACTTTCACCGGCAACACGATTTGCCTTGTCAACAAAGATTATGCAGACGACGTCGTATGGTCTCGCTGACATCGTCGCCTTTGAACTACAACACCGTCATCGAATCGTTCAGCCGTAATACCCTTTCGGTGCCTAGCTGCCATGCCACCCGAAGGAAGCATGAGGGCTGGGATACTGCCAGGTTGCCCAAGCCTAGACAGGGGAAGTCGAGAGGCAGAGGTCGGGTTCGAACCACGAACCTTCCGGTCAGTAAATTCGCGCTCTAACCACTTGGTCCATCTCGCCCCGTCATCATCCACCTACTACTCATTCTTTTTAATTTGCTTATTATTGAAATCTGTAGTACAATACTGATGAGACACCGTAATGAAACTAGAGTATCATTCAAACCTATCTTTTGTGTTCGGTATTCAAGTTCGTTAAGGAAAAAGACCGTTTTAGGGAGAGACTTGTTGAGCAAAAAATGACTTCAGTTATAGCGAAAGAAATCACTTGGATCTCGAGTTCCGTAGGCAAGACTACGAAATACATATACATGTTCCCAATTACGGTCCAACATGTTGAAAATCGAGAAGAGCGACAGTTGAAAACTTCACAAACACTTACCAGAAGAAGCTCTGGAGGCAATACGTCGGTATCCAGTTCTTGCTTCAACAGCTGGAATGACTGACAACCCAGGGAGTATGGACCGAAAATAAGGGATCCTAAAGCGAATTAGGGATGGATCGTCAAGTATGGACATAACTATGCAATCGCGACTCCACGCTCAAACTAGGTGGTACAACAAAGCCTAATATCGCGGTTAAGAGGTGGAACACATGTAGCACATCTAAGCGTTCCATGAATGCAAGTTATGTTGAACGGTCTGTGTGGTCCGCGCTTGAAACACTAAAATTTGTAGCTGTCACTCAGATAGGAATCGGGGGATTGGAACACGAGGCAGTCTTCAGTTGGGCAGGCAGAGGGTAATATAATATCGGGGATAGGAGTCTAGAAGGACAATTTGAACCACACGGAGCTCTGCAGTTGAATAATTGAAAAACAAACGCAGTTTCCAAAAATACTATACAGGTTGATAAAAGGCACAGTGAATCTTATGAATACAAACTCAAACATATGTTTGAGTAACTGCGTCCATGTAGCCGCGGGCAGGTGTTGGGAGGTGGTGAGTTTGCAGGCAACTAAAACTGCTCCTAAAAACCACGCTACCCATGTCACCCATGGTTGAGGAAGCTCCAAATACTGTTTTTTGAGTCCATTACGGTGATGAACAAGAATGCGTTTCCGGTGCTATGATCGTGTGGACACAATGTTGATCGTTTGAATTCTGATTTCAAAACATCCATGAATAGTGTATAAGACTACGGTGCGTACTAGATTCCGAACTCAACCCGCCGATGATCTGTGGTTTTCTTGGGATCTTAATATCATTGACCTTATCCGAGAGGCATAGCAACAGAAATTGCAGACGCCGACTCCAAGGATTGCGTTAAGTGGTGGAATCCTGTACCAAAAAACGGCCCTATAGCTCGCAATTATTGCTGCTGCAGCCGATAAACCTAACTTCCACGTGATTGGTCAGAAGATGGGGACGCTTGCCGGTCCAGCAACGAGGCGGGCTCTGAATGGTCGAAAATGTGGACTGAACAGCTAGTCATCCGGTTGATAATGGTGTGCCTAGGAGACGTCCGAATTTCCAGTATACGACAAGCTGTACATGTTTTTTTTTACCTAATTTTGCGCACTAACTACACCTTGTGTACCCTTGGTGGATCTTCTGTTGACCGAGAACTAAGTTGGGGCATTACAGCTACTACACGTTATGAATCTGTGCCTGAAAACTTGACTACCTAAACAAAAGATTTTCAGAACATAAAGCAACAGTATGCAGCTGTTTAATCCATATTTGGGGTCGTCAATCACGGCTGACAGACTAACATGAATACTCTACGACTGATCTACACGTAGATGGACACAAATGCCACAGACCGGTGCCGTTCACGGAGAAAAACCTGTACAAGCAACTGACCGATTTTAGCCAGCCGAACGGGTGAATCCTCCGAACGAAGTTGGACTCTAACGTTTACATGGACCGAAGTCAGATCATCGGTGGAGTGTAGCCCGTCGATCGGACCGTCGGTGTGGTAGTTGAAGGAGTCAATGAAGGAATGTAGATCCATGGTGCGAGACAGCTGCAAGTGTGTCCTTTGTTTGAGAATCGAGCTGGCGAAACTGTACAACTTTAGACAGCGCTCGGCATCTTCGGGATCCCAATTCAGCAAGTCAGCAATATTCTGAGTGCGGAGAGGTGGGATTGAGAAGTAATTCATAAGGTTTGAGTAACCAATTGGGTAATTTTATTATGATACATTGAAAGTGGTCAAATATTTTCCATTGCCTGAGAACTATTGAAAAGGTGACGTGGCAGTACTCATAAGGTTGCTGGAGACTCTTCGTTTGTCATGACGATATACTGTGATATCACGAATATCGTTCCAATGGAGACATGTGGTGGTCTTTGCGCAGTAAATTCAGTTGATGAATAACATAAACAAAATATTCAGCCGAGTCTCCCGTTAGAGCCAAATTAGTGTGCAAACGAGTACATTCTAGGCATCGGAAAAGTGATTACAAGAAACAAATCACAAGAGAAACATTATTTGAATAATACACTGAGCAACTGTGAAAGACCGGAGACTATGGAAAAAACAGTAAATCCACTGTCCCCCAATAACTATGCGGTGAACCTGACCGAACGTTCGTACGAATGCACATATCCACACGTTGTTCTTCATTTTATGCAGAAGTTAGGGTTCATCCAAAAACCGTCAAACCATGGAGCCTATTTCCAAAAAGTTGCAGTACTGAAAACACAGTTAGATGCAGGAATTCAATTGACTTTTGTCTAGCAATCAAGCAAGATGGACCAAGTGATTAGAGCGCGAATTTACTGACCGGAAGGTCCGTGGTTCGAACCCAACTTCTGCCTCTCGATTTCCCCTGTCTAGGCTTGGGAGATCTGACAGTATCCAAGCACTCGTGCCTCATTCGTGTGGCATGGCAGCTAGGCACTGAAATGGTGCTGCAGCTGGACGATGGTACGCAAGAAACACGGCTGTACCCGCTGTTGCACAACCAACGGATGTTTAGAACAACTGGAAATTTCGGTTCNCAGTTTTAAGACGAATAGTAATTATTATCCCTATGAAACAAGGTTTCCATCAGGACGGGAGAAAACGGGTTACGTCATTAGGTAACCCCTTGGGTGTATTTGTTGGGTTAGTTTCACGTCCACTGCGGGAGCGGAAATCAGGAAAAAAGGAATGTTACGTTTCTACTTCATAATTATGAATAACACGGTCGAATAAATATTTATTTTATACGGATGGATACCCCAGAGAGACCGTTCCACCGCGTGTGGGCTACCAACCTGAACAAAATGTATGATGAAATTTGAATTCGTCGGTTGCACGGTTGGTGGTGTAACGGAAACCCAGTTCCAGATTAACTGGAAAATCACTAATAGTTTGTGCATTGGCTCGGTTCGTTCACGTTTACAACTAAGGTGGGCATGAGACCCAACGCGGACACTTAATCGTTCCACCTGACCGTTCCCTCTTGGGTTGTATGAAGTGTTCTGACTGATGGCAATGACTTTTTCATGAAGAAATCGCTTAATCTCATCCTAACTGAATGATGAACCGCGATCCAAATGCACTAATCTAGGCAGACCAAATGTAGCCAATAGTGGCACAAGGCATGAGATCACCGTAGACTAACTTATATATGGATATGGATAGGCGAACCGGAAGTGGGAATACCGGTCTACGGCCGTCAGTAGATATTTCGAATCGTGTAAGTTAGTGGTCATCTGAAGTCAATGACTGAACGTTCAAACTTTTGTGTGGCTTTAACGAGTGTTCAACCAGATGGCTGGAAGAAACCTGGTTTTAACTTCGCACACACATGACATTGCTTACTGACAAGCCGGATGTCCTATAGTGAGAGTGGGACTCGAGATAACTCCAGCTTGTGGACTGGAAGGTCCGTGGTTCGAACTCAATTTCAGCATTTCGACCATTCCTGTCTAGGCTTGGGCAACCCAGCCCTCGTGCCTCCTTCCGTTAGCATGGCAGATAGGCAAAGAAAGGGTGTTACAGCTGAACGATTTTTTTTAACAATCAGGCCACTAGGATACCAGAAAATAAGGTGGTGGTTGATCAGCTTATTGACCACCAGCAAGCGCACCTGAGCGATCAACTTTTGACGTACCGTCAAGGGTACATATCGTTCAGCTGTAGCACCCTTTCGGCGCCTAACTGCCATGCCACCCAAAGGAAGAACGAGGGCTGGGCTGGTAGCCAGGTTGCTCAAGTCAAGATAGGGGAAGTCGAGAGGCAGAGGTCGGGTTCGAACCACGGACCTTCCGGTCAGTAAATCCGGGTACATGGTCTCGATTCTATGACAAATTCATATATCGCTACGGACTTTGTATCAAGAGCAAACGTAGACGTAGGTTATCGACTCCAGGCGATATTAAATCATCAAAACCGAGTGACAAGCTATGACAACGAAAATGTCTTGTGAAACATAATTCCTTAGAACATTTCAAACAGCCTGAGGACTAGCGCATACTAAGCGCCTTTACAGCAACCCCACCCAGTGGAGCTGTGAGAAAAGACAAAGGAGTTCACTTCAGTGTTGTTTTTCGCTTCCGACCAAGCCCCCCAGCAGTCCTGACTATAAACAGTTTTTGCTTTCTTGGTCAATTGTCCAGTCAGGTTTAAGAGGCCAGACTGGCAGCTCCAGCACACGGATCTACTAGTCTCTTGAGAAACGGATGTGTCCAACGTACGTGGGTGGGTCGGTCCGTGTGGTGACCATTAACCGACATCCGGTATCATTCATTACAATATCCGGACAGTATTGGTTCTCAGCTAAAACAACCGGTTGAAGGTGGTTGATTGACCAAACGCAGTTAGGTGAATTTTCCCTCCGATCGAGGATAGTGGATGAATCCAACAATCGTAAATAAAATCTAGTGTAGTCTGTTAAACAGATGTGCTGCAGACCCCTAGTTCCAAACTAGATAAAATGCTAGTTAGATAGCTGCCTAACCTAACACAGGGTGTTCATTGCTAGAAACTGGTAAAATCCGCGCAACTCTCAGCACTACTTGTCTCGCGTGGACAAGTGCAATTCTAGATGTGCGTGGCAGTAAAATACGGTACTCAAATGATCAACCTGCTGTTCAACCAGCTTCTTGCACTAGCCACGAAATTGCAAAGACCCTTTGGCTTTTGTAAAGAGGTGTTGTTGTTAATTTCTGATGCTGCACGAAACACTAACGTTTAGGTTCGTGTGTACCAAATCAAAATTGCTCACAAACCCAGTCAATTGATAGGTGCATTGGCCGATCTGCTTAGAGATTTGAATGCCGCCAAGCTGATCAGGAGCGAGAAAAGTGAGTAACCTTAATAGCACTTGTCATAGTATGAATTCGGTGTTACCAGTTGGTGATTTCCGATTGAAATGTGTCACTCTCGTGCCGTTCTTTATCCTACCTGAGGTTTTAATTTAAGTTTCGAGCACTGGGTTAGTAGTCGTACGCTGTACTTTGGAGAATAACCACTGCTGTGTTCGATATGTTGCCCATAGTCCATAGTTTGCTGAATTCTCTTGCAACTGATGGGTCGGCTAGACTCAGACTCAGCAACTGTAGTGAATCAGTGCAAATACGCAGTAAATATGGAGGGTTACATGCTCGTTATCGGCAGCCCCGCAACTGAAAATTACGCTGATAAGACTGTAAAAGATGTCGTTAAGATTACGGTGAAGGTCCCGTTCAGATTCGTGTAGAAATTGAGCACCAAAGTTGAGATCATATATTTGTATGGCATGTAAACCGACAATAAAGAAACTTACTTCCAGCTCATCGGTCCAAGCAAGTGACGGTGATGCATGCTCCGAGTTCCCAGCTAACTGCACCAAACATTCCCTGTTCAAAGCATGAAACTTCAGGAAAAAGTTGGTCATGGAGCAGAGTCTCATGAACACAGCACGCAGACGAGCTACCTCGGGGAGCTTGTCATGAGAACGAACAAGTGACGAGCGTGGTGCTAAAATTTAGAACCAAAAATAAAATGCACTTGCTCAAAAGACCCTGCACGAAGAGGAGAGGAAGATTGGGTCAACCAAACACAGTATTGGCAGTAAAAGTGGAAGGGAAACAGAACTAGGCAGGTGAGTTTTCAGAAAGTGTCCACTTGCACTCGTTTGTTGCTAGATTAGTGGCGATAAGCCTCTTTGTGGTTAGTTTGCACGTGAGCAGGCATCTACCACGTTGCATACAGAGATTCGGAGATGTATTTTAGGCGGCCATAAAAACCTGACGCAAGTGGATGTTTCTTTGAGCTTATTTGGTTGAATGGCTTCCCCAGGTATTCATCCAGCCATCAGATGAGGAATGGAAATCACGTTACCCATACTATTGGGCAGGTATGATGTTGGACCGAAGTATGACAGAAACCGAGTCTGGTGCATGTCGATGAGAACAATAGTTTGGAAAACTAGCGTGGGAAAAACAAATACACTCATTCGCACACGGGAGACTTAACTGAAACTCAGCTGAATCGTTTATGATGTCGAACAGCTTTCAGCAACCCTATGAGTGACGTCGGAGAGATTCACACTCAAATCTACGTCAGTAAAAACTCAGTTTTTACTCTTATTTCACACGGCAAAACGTGTTTGACGTTTTCTTTCGACATTGGCAATAGAAGAGCAACAGAAAAACCGGTGTGAAAAAGCAGCTGGGGTTGCACGTGGACGAATGTCAGTCAAAGTCTACAGCGACCAGCTTCTTTTCGATCAGTTGCGTAAAATTCACGTTGTGACTCTCACAGACTGAGTTCTCGCTCTTTTGCACGAACAACAGGAGCAGCAGGCACACTGTTCCCGTTCCAAGACAGAAAGGACCTTACGACTAGAGTCAGCCATGAATTAACCTGCAGACAGCCTACGGCACCATGTCCTGCATTTATACCACTGGGTGACCGTTCCAGAGCAGTCTTGACAGTGGGTCGCCTTAAAGTGGTTTATGACCCTGAGGTCGAATTTAGCCATAGCATGATTACTTCGTTTCTATCGATCGACTCTGAAAAATAACCTAGAAAAGGAGGCACTGGCTGGATTAAGAAAACAGCACACCGGTAAAACTTGTTTATCGCTACTATCACAGATGGAAAATGGATAATGCCTAACAGAACTCACAGGAAGTAAGCTCCACGCAATCATTCAAGAATTCTGCCAGCTGATGGGGATAGTGACTGAGATGATGAATTGTGTGTAGGACTGATTTTTCAAACCAGGAGCAGGTTTTGAAATTCCCAAACAGCTTGATAAGTTCGGAAAATACCGAACCTGGAAAAGGAATGAATGTAAACAGTGGATTTAAGATATGCGAAATTGACCATAGTGAAAAATAATGTCAGGCTTTAGACGAACTGGTTGTCGCCTGATAGCTTCAAAAATGGAATGTCAAGTCAATAATACTATAATCTAATAAAGTCCAGGTGTCAGGTCCATACACGACAGAACAAATGAATCATTCTATGTTACTGTTTTACAGTTCACCAGGCCACGAGAGTAACAGGTCCCACAGCCGTGGGGCCGATGCGAAACCGCAAATTAACAGCTGTGTTGAAGAAAAATCGCACGGTACTTGAGTGTTTTACGCGGATACCTTCTTGTTGCTGATTCCACATTGTTCCCGTAATACTGATGAAAGAACTGATTCACAAACTTACCGGGACCATCTGTATGGATACGCTCCATGCAGGCGTAACATTCTTGCATGATTTGATATTCATGATAACCCATGACTGCCTCGGCGTCTGTACCAGCTAGACACAGCTCCGGGCTTACACTCAATGTGTAGAGAACGCCCTTGACATCCAACATAAACGCTTGAGCGCCTGTCTGTCTGAAATAAAGACAAATGGGTCCTAATAAGAACATAAACATCAGCGGGATCGGTATCAAACCAAACTCAGTATTACATAAAAACGTACTACTGCATGTCCAAACGTGGTCCAAACATAATATACATCAGCGGGATCGGTATCAAACCAAACTCAGTATTACATAAAAACGTACTACTGCATGTCCAAACGTGGTCCAAACATAATATTCCCTCCACCACACCTTTTCCGTGCCAATAGGTCTGGCATTGTCAGAAAACCCCAGTAATTTCTCAAGTCAGCCTGACAGATGGATCGATGTCTTAATGAAAGCCTACAGATGACAGTATGCTAACTTAAAGTGACTTGAAGAGTTGCTTGACCTGGGATCCAGTGCGGATACCTCCCAAGGACGTCTCAACCGGGTCACCTTAAACTTCCATCAATCCATTAAGATCCTTTGGACATCTTATAGAAAAATACCAGGACGTCTTAACGTGCAGAACTTACGGAAGGTCCATAACCAGTGAGAATCGAGAAGTTGCAGTTTCAGAGAAGTGTTTGGAAAACAATGGGTAGATTTACTGCTGTACAACACTTCACTTTTGATACAAAACGTCATCAGGCTAAACGAGCGAGTTACAAACCCGGTGGGACAGGGGACCAGTCAGCGAAGTCTCTCTCCACTAGCTAAGAGAAGTTCGAAACCAACAAATCAAGCAGCTACACCCGTCAACGCACAAGAAATAACTTCAAGCCTGAATCGGTGAGCATATGAGAAGCAAAAACAAATCACCAAAAATGCAGGTATATATATAGCACTAGAAGAATACCGAGCTATGGCGGTACACGCAAGGGGCACGGAAAACAAAATCAAATAGGAGGATATTAAAGTGCTGAGGCGGGGACCACAACTTATACCGTGATTACTGAGACGATGTGAAATTACACGCCCCTCAACGGTAACGGAATGTAGAGCATAGAATTGTAAGACGTGTGCAGAGCGGTCAAGTTGACACATAACGGTATGCGATTATCAATGAAAAGCAGTTGTCAGCTGAAGTGGTTTGAATCTCAAAACAACTGAGGCCTCGTTTCTCCGACCAAACTGCCGTAGCATTTATTAACCTACAGAGACCAACGAGGGTTGTAAATGAGACTTACAAGAAATCAACAACTGGGGTACTCCGAACTAAATCCGAGCCACATACATAGAATCCCCTCTTCCCCACCAATCGGTCACTCACAGTAACCAACAACAACTTTTAGCCAATATTCAACACTAAACCAGTGAAGTCCTCCGACTCAAACTTACATATCACACAGACTTACTTACAGCGAATGTGGAGCTGCTGGTCCTAGCCACTGTGGCTGAATTTGAATAAGGCGCACTGGCTCTTCCACATCCCACGTGGCAAGCCTTGGTCCATGCGTAAGTCTCCAAACCTCCAAAATGCGACGATGAGGGGCGTGGATGAAAAGGCATCGTGTGGTCCGCGGATAACTGATTGGCTTCCTTGCAACCGAGTCGATTCCTGGGTCTGAAGTACGCTCGAGTGCGTCCACGAAAGCTAATTCCGCGTCACGGTAGCCTGAAAAATGGAACGAGGGGAAACTCGACGGCTGCAGTGATCAAATATGACCCGCACTATATCCGTATATGCTGACTTCATCAAAGTTTACCCACTCTGGAGGGGATATCTAGTAAGTGGTCATAAGCTGGAAGAAGTCTGCTTGAAACAAAAGAGTGAGGTTGGGTCAATGAGGACTACAATAAATTTGAAAAACTGTAAGGTGCAATTCTGAAGAAAAATCAGCATGCAAGGTACCGTCAGCAACACACCCGTAAGAGAACACAAGCCGTTCGTAATAGGTACGGCAACGGAGAATCCTGTCCTTTAAATTGGAGAGGGCGACCCGTGAAATTAAACCCGACTTAAAGAAATACTGTCGGTGGATGAGTTCGGATGCAAGACGGTCCTTTCTCTTTCGAAATTCAAAGCGAAAGCCTGCTTTGCGATGTTGTAGGGCCAATAGAGATATACATTAGATAACCTCTCTCTCTCAAAAGTAGTAGGTTAGAACAAAGGGAAAACATAAACACCACTTCCCACGACGGAACGCGTCGAGTAAATTAAACGGCGGGAAGGACAGACTCCAACAGACCTTTCCACATTCGAACCACACGTCTCCTATTCAAATCCACTAGAAGCCGCGACCAAGNCAGACCTTTCCACATTCGAACCACACGTCTCCTATTCAAATCCACTAGAAGCACGCGACCAAGACTGTCAGTTACCGCGATCCATTGCTGATCGGAAGAGATTGCCATTGCACCGTGGAGAACATGACGTCGTTGATCGGCAAGTCCGTGGTGTAAAGTCAGAGGTGTACCGTCCGCTTGAGGGCAAGAGGATGTTGGAGTGACTGGCTCACCAGAAGGATCCGTGAACCGAACGACGAATGTGTCCCGCTTTCCAGCGCTTTTTTGATAGAAATGGGGAGATGTATCCGCACAGTGACAGGTTTATAGCAGTTTACCAGAAGAAAACTAAACGAGACAAGTGTTACTAGGTAGTCAGCAACATCCGCGAAGCCGTCTACTAAGTTCCTGGGACCATTAGCTTGGGATTTGCCTTCAACTGAATGAATGCTTGTTCTCTGGTTCTAAAAAAGGTGGGGTCCCTCAAACAAACTGACAAGTAATCTAGCTACTAATTTTTAATAGCTAACGAAATCTTGAAAAAACGTCAGATAACGGACATTGGCACTGGAACCCCAATAGAACCAACCCGAGGTGACTGACTGCACCCACAGATAACGGGTTTGAGAGTCGTGCCGCTGACTAAAAACGGGAAACTGCCACAACCAGGTTCGAACAAAACTCACCCAAAACTGACCTGGAAGATCCCAGAATGACCCTTTTGGCTTCCGCATAGAGAAGAGATGTGATTGAGGCAGTTGGGACCTGGAAAGTACACAATAAAGTTACTGTTCCTGGATTGATTGGTGAATCGAATACATACAGTTTGGGAGACGAAAAGAAATAACATAAGGTATATCGAAACATCCTGACATGGAGGTTTACAGATGACTTCTGTTCATGCCTGCTTGGAAATACCTCAGCCTCCATATTTCCCAGGAGTAGCGTACTAGCTGAGTGTCGAGAGTACGATACAGTTAAGCGAGGCGTTATTCATTCACTATTTATTGCATTCACCAAATCACAAGATCGGTCGAGTCAAACTAAAAAGTGATGTCGTTTCCGTGCGATGGGCCTAATCTGTAGCCTTTCTAAAAGCTACAAAATACCACTTGTAGCGCGTGATGGTTTCTTACGGAGATGAAGACGTTATGTTATGATGAAGGAATTTCAAACCACCAAAGATAGAAAAGCGTAAACAACGAACTTTGTCAGCTGGTGGCTGGAAAATCCGCACTCAGGTAAATGATACTCGAAATGCACCAACTCAATTGGTAAGCCTCTGGAAATTCACTCTTTAAGTGCGTGACGCTACTGACCGGCGTCCAGCAACTAATGCCCTCTAGGATCGTTTTCTCAATGCTTGCTGGAGAATAGTGCATGAAGGGGAATCAGAGAAATGCCACTGGAGTTTTTTGCTATCCGGTCGAGACATATGTTGCAGTTAATTTCGTCAACCATGAACCATGCACAGTCGTGCGTTGGTTCGGAATGCTACTACATTCAGACACAAACAGTACGAGTTGAAACAGGAGAGTGACTGGGGTTCATAAAGTAATATGAAAAATATAAAGCAGTGGTTTGAAGGTTGAAAGCGTGGAACCTCAACACGTAGATTGAGGCGTTTAGTCACTCATGGGGAGTGAATCTCTGCCACCCAAACCTCGCAGAAGGCATGAACTGACAGGAATAAGACGTGTTATTAGGCATTTTGTGCTTTATCCCCAGGTCATTATTTGCCCGCCAGGTATTCTCGTCAGAGCAGGCTGCAGAAAACAAAGCTCGACCGGAAAATCGATCGCCTGCCATACAAGCAACATGAACAAGCTGGCAAAGCTGGTCAAACCACATTACAACGTCAAGCCGAAAAACACTAGTTGTATTACGGCATTCTAACCAGGCGTTCGTATGATACATGTGTAATACATCGAAGGCGGTCAAAGATAAGGAGTCGCCTTTAGTCCTCAATGTGCAGTGGTCACGTTTCATAGCCGAAAATCAGTGCGGAATTTACTGCGGCACCATAGGCACCGCCCTTTACCGCAGTATAAACGTCGCGTCGTTGTCAAAGGTGATAAAGCTGAATGAAAGTAGAGCGCGTTTGAAAAGCTTAGCGCTCACATCGTCAGCAAGGAAAAGTGGTTTAAATTATTACTTACAGCGCTTGAGAAACGATTACCAAGTTCCGACCAGCGTTCTGAAGCGCGACAACACAATCTCGGTTGTTCATTATATATCATATCTAGACGGGATCCGAACCAAGCATAGTAATTACTATTTTCTAGGGTTTTCTTTCAGGAGAGAGATAGGGTCAGCGAAAACAGATGTCGTAAAGATTCCTGCCACTACAAAGTTGAACAGTATGACAATAAGCAACCTTAAAAGACATTTTTTGCGATGAACTTGGGGGACTGTTCAACTCGGACCCGGATGCGTCCAACGGTGCTAGATTGAAGTATGATGAAGATGCTCAACAGTTCCATACAGTAACACGATCGAATACTCCCCTTAGATCTTAGAAGGGGATGAAGCTTGGTGTTCTAGGAGCTGTCATCGGGTGAAAATTTGGCCGTTATACCAGCAACCTGCTCGAGATTCTACGAAGGCAGACGTGTGTTAGCAAACTAGAATGGATGATCAGGAAACTGACCCCGGATGTCCAGAGGCGAGCCGCTCGACTGGACAGTACAGGCCTACCGCTCTCGCGGTAATAAAAAGTATTTGGAGAATTAGGGCTGAGTATATCATACAAAACGCCTGTCTGTTTCATATGCAGTATCGTACGGGTATCACACGAGCGTTTCTAGATGGGATGAAAAAGGCTGACATGCAACAGTAGAAAAATCAAATCATCCAGCTACGGAACCTCTTCAGCAGCGAGGCATCAGTGTTGAACACTGATGTTATGTTGTTGATGATGATGGAACCCATTCAGTGAGTGGCTGCCGGACAAACCCATGGATGCCTGAGAACTGACAGCCTAAAGAAGAATAATCGAAGAGCCAGGTTCGGTTCGAACAAGAGACCTGCATGTCGTAAACAACTTGTGAAGAACTATCGTAAAAGGTTAGGAAAAGCCTTGCATTGATGCATTTGTACGCAATCCAACTCCACTTCGACACGTGTGTTGGTTTGGCTTCAAGAATGTTCAAAACTACGGAGGACTTGTAAGCCTCACTACTCCTTCTTCTTCCTTGTTTCTCATCTACGCTTCAATGCCTTGTGCCTCCATTTTATGTACGGATTTGAAGATGATGTGAATTCACACTCTAACCGCTAATGTCTATCGAAAGTACCAATCTTTAAGTGTGCCGGATTTTGCACGTCCTGCCTACGTGTGGTAATTCTGCCCTCAAATGTTTTGTTTCATGAAAAATACCAAATCATCACATGTACCACCATTTCGTCGAACCATAAAAAAATAAAATTTCCATAGAAATGGAATCCGAAAAAGTAGGAGACGGGTTTTCGTGATCTCTACCAGCCTACAATAACCTTTTGCGTCAGCAGATCATTGGAACCACACCAACTACACCCAAACTCTTCGTAAACTCTTCCACACCCATGTCACACACTATCCAGACCAGGGTTTGCACAATTCTGGAAAAGGGGAGAACAACAACACTCGTCTCGCAAACAATGATTCGGCATACGTAACACATGCCAAGCGACCGTAGTTGATAGTGCTGTTGGATGTTGTCCGCGACTGAATTACGTGCTGCACAACCAAACGCGTGTTCCTAATTAGGTCATTATCTACAGTGGCTCAGTACCGGGCAATCAGACACATTGTCATCAGAGTTAATATAACAGGGGTATGTAGAATTTTCCACCACCTCCAGTGCTTCCCCTTGAGTTGCAAGGGGAATGTTCAGAGACTGTAAGTTCTCAAGCATTAGTTTGCACTTTGTAGGTGCAAGGCGCAAGCCAAAAGATAGCATGATGATAATCAGTTTATTCAACAGCGCCAATGCTTGGCATTCGTATTAGGACAATGTCATCTGCCTACTCCAGATTGACGAAATTCTTACCAGCAACGATATGAACACCGGGGTTTCGAAGAGCCTCAAGCGTTCACCTCATTATTTCATCGATAATGAAGTTGGGAAAAAGTGGACAGAATGGACATCCACTCCGGACACCACTTTCCGTAAGAAAGTTTTTAGGCAGCTCAGCATACACTCACACGCTCAGAAGTATATAAATACGAAAACCGGATTTGGTTCAAAGTGCTGACAGGACGTTTAAATTTAAGGAACACAAAGGCACGTTGGGCTGCCCTCAAGCCTAACATGCATCTCTGCCCGATAGGAATCTCACTTGACGCTCACGAGTCAAACTTTCGCGTGCCGCTTTAGAACGACGAAGAATCAGTGACGCCAGAATCCTGGCTACAATGTGAGTCAAACTGGCAGCACTGTAACCACATTCACTGTGAGTACCCTTATGGAAAATACGCACTAGTATCCACCCACCCCAGTTGTTTGGGGCATTCTATTTCTCTCTGATAGACAAATAAGTTCGAATGGCGCTGACTAAGGAATTTACGACCGTCTTCGAATAGACCACGTGGAAGGTCGTCTGGACCAGCAGCAAGTTACGTTTCAGTGGCGATGCACACTCAAACATTCCTATGGCTGAAGGAGGTTCCATATTCACCAAAACAAAGAGCGGTCTGGGGTGACTCAGCATACCTTTTCGTAGATCTACAACTTGTTCCTCCGATGCGGAAATAGGAGGAAACGCCACTTTGTGTCCGACTATCTATATGGTTCACCGAAAACATGAGTAGCGGGTGCATCACTGATACTGATAAAAAATGCTCGACCTGGGTCAGGGCCAAATATTGCCTATTTGCTCGTTATTCAATTTACCGGTACATGTTCAACCGAATGAACAGTAATCGCAGGATGTGTTAACAGCCTAAACCCAAAAGATACAATTTTTGGTTCAAAATGAAATGGTGTGGGGTTCGGGTAACCGAGCGACCAAATCAATCGAATGATTCATGCATCAGAAAGCCGTCTCACTATACAACTGTCCGATCGCTACTGATCAAACACATCAAACTTCTTGTCAAAGTACTAAACCTTTACAGAACTACCGAGAAACTTGTAGCCTACGATTTACAGTGATCAGCTTATCGTAATTCAATAAAAAATCTGCAGGCCTGTATTTTATACCTATTAATAGTGCTTCGTTTTACTTTAATTTTACTGATGTTGGTTAGTCGGAGTAGGGAAAAGTCCCAGGGGCGAACTGCTCTGATACGGGAAGTGTGTAGCAGAAGCACTAGCCGTTTTCACTAATGGACTTCGGAGGCCACCACATAACAAACTAACTTATTCCACGATGGCGAGATGACTAAGTGGTTAGAGCGAGAATTTACTGACCACAAGTTCTGTGGTTCGAACCCAACCTCTGCATCTCGACCTCTCCTGTCTAGGCTTGGGCAACCTGGCAACACCCTAGCCCTCGTACTTCCTTCGAGTGGCATGGCAGCTGGACAACGAAAAGGTGCTACAGCCGAAAGGGGGGTAGCTTATTCCGAAGTCGCTGCAACTGGAAAAGCTTCCTCCGAAGAGACACATGATGAAATAGATGACAGTTAAGATTTTCGAATTGAGAACCAGATGCTCACCTCTTGAGAGATATTAAAGCTGATAAATGGCTTTCTCCCTGTCACAGTCCACAAAGTCTGTACGGAGAGAGAGTGCCACGATGCGTCTGCGAGTTGTGTCGGTTGCGTAATCGTCCTTCCAACAATGAAACTAAAGAAATCTGGTAGCCTGCTGGCTATGGCGAATAGTTAGTATGAGGCAAAAGGAACCTCACCTGCACATACTAATTGCCCGTGTGCTTCACCATGTGGTATAAGGAGCTTTCGGAAACGAAGAAAAAGTGTGTTCTCTTGTATCTGATCCTTTGTTGGAATTGGAAGATCGGGAATAGATAACGCTTGCAAACTTCTCGTGAGAACAAGGCGGAGATCCTCCACATTCAGCACAAAAATAGCCGAACCACAAAGAATGGACAGTTCCTACAAGGACAGTTGTAGAAAAGGGTGGTGTAGACACAACCCACGGGAATATCCGACTGTGTCCGCAGAAAAATCGACTTTACAGGTCCTGAGTTGGGATCCAGCTCCAACAAACATTCTCCGCACTTTAATGTGGGGAAACGTAGAATGGCATGAAAGTGCATTTACCAGGTGGAGAAAGAGGATTCGGCCATCATCGGTACCGACCAGACAAATGTCTATATCTTGTGGGTAAGCACTTTGGGACAACGGACACCGATTAGTTCTATCTGAGATACTTACCAATTTGGTCGAGGAAGAGTTGTTACAAACAACGAACGAATGCCACTTAATAAGGATGGATATATACAGCTCTGAACATACCTGCCAATATCCACCGATTGAACTTGTTGTGATGAATGATACGATTGGAGTTTGGAGACTGTAAACGAAAGCAAGTTATCGAAGAGTGACATACCTTGAAAGACATACAAAACATCATCAACTCCCAAAATGAGTGTGTTTGAACGAGGGGAGATGATCAACTGAGTGGCGTGAATGAGCTCCGAGAGGTGTTCCTTCCCAGATATAAGCAGACTAGGCGTGACAGACATTGGGTTACGAGGGGCCGTAACAAAAACCAGTGGACTTGGGACAAATGCGTCTCAGTGTGTCCGATCTCCCGTTGAATTTCACGTAAGATACATTAAAGAACATAAAAATAGACGCCAACCATGAACATAGCTATAATGAGAAGAAAAACAAGTGTGGATTGTGTCACCATATTGAAAAAATCGTTGAGTTGGGCCGGAATACCCAGACCTAGACAGGGGAAATCAAGGGTCAGAGGCCGGGTTCAAACCACGAACCTTCCAGTCCGCTCTAAACACTGGGCTATCTCGCTCCCGTCACCATATTAATTACTGCTTGTTATTGTCTGTTTATTCACTGCGACTCGTGATGAACTCGAGCCTCCGGGGATGTTGTAGAACACGAGAAATCGGTCACCATCCAATTCTGGATCCGTATTACGGAAGCAGAGAGCAACAAGGGTCTCGTACTGTCTCCATAGATAGCGTATATTTTCTTCCAAGACGATGTTATTTGTGACTCCACCTAAGGACCAGTAATTTAGCGTAGCCGCGGAATAAAAATGGATCTTCCAGACAAAAAAGATGTTTTGACAAACGACCTTTGAAATGGTTAGCAAGGACCCGCGCACTCCCCATTAACCCAAGACCAAGAAGTTAACGACAGCATCCTCATTATCATCATCATCATCAACAGCATGACATGGGTGTTCAACACCAATGCTTCGATGCCGTACAACCATGATTTATTTGAAAGCCCTATTGTAAAGAAAAGAATAAAGGTGGACGGGGGAAGGACTTAGTTCTAGCTTACTACAATCATTCCAAGGTACCTATACCTCCAGACATTCACTCAGGCAATCCGGATAGAAACTACCAACAACTACCAACAACAAGAACGCCACTGACATCAGTTGGCAGTTACATCTTGTTCTAGCACCTGACGGAGTGTGAAGATTTGGTCAACGCAACCTACGCCAGGCCCGAATCCCAATTGCTGCTCTCGAGTCAGTGTCTCACGATCCACCGTAAGGCGACGAAGCACAAGCGACGCCAACAGTCTCGTTGCGATAGGGGTCAAGCTGATCCCCCTGTGGTTGCCACACTCACTACGAGCCACCTGTTTTAAAATTGGGCACCATCACCGACTTGTCCCAGTTGTCTGGGACAGACTCCTTTGACCAAATGCATGCAAACAGAACAGACAAGTGTTGACTGAGGACCTTACTCCCGTCTTTGAACAATGACGATGGGAGGTCATCCGGGCCAGCAGCTCGGTGGCGCTTGAGAGAACATATGTAGCCGTAAACCTCCGAGGCCGTAGGTGGTTCCACGTTCACCGTCTGGGATTCTACTTCACCTGTGGTCTCTGGATGAGTGCCAGCTGGTGGGTGGGATGCACCATGCAAAGAGGTGGTAATCTCGTCACAGTATGCGTTCACGTCTGATGGTGGAGCATCTGGAAGAGACTCTAGAAAACGATTCTGGTAAATTCATCTAACATCCGGATCTGGCAGTCTCTCAGTTGCCAAGCGATTTGTCCGCATTTTACGCGGCACAGGGAAACGTAGGGAGAAGCGACTCCGGACGAGGGCGTAGTCAGAATCCACAAATATGTTCCAAAACGACCGGCATTCAGTTATTGATCCGGGTGAGATGACCCAAGTGGTTAGAGCACGAATGTACTGACCGAAAGGTCCATGAGCAGAACCCTACACCCGTCTCTCGACTTTTCCTGTCCAGGCTTGGGCAACCTGGCAGTATTCCAGCTCTTATGCAACCTTCGGGTGGCATGGCAGTTGGGCGCCGAAAGGATGTGTTAGGAGGCACTCCTAACGAACATATTGCTCAGCATTTCTCTCTCTCTCTATTTCAGCCTTTCATTGGACTGCTTTGTTCCATTCCATTCTTGATTCTTCGAATCTCGATATTGGCTGTTCAGTTGCTGCAGTATAATTTCCTCAAGGCTTTTTGTCTTCTCAATTTCGTGTGTAACTGACAAGGTTGATTGACTGATTAGTAGAGAACATAACACTGGCGACGGGAACCCTTCACGAACCCAAGAATGTCAATTTCAGCTGAGGATTTCAAATCAATCCTTCAACAACAACAAGCGAAATTTGAACGATCTCAATTGCGACTTATTCAGCCTCTCACTCAAGTCATCAATCTCCAAACTTCAGTTTCATCTCAAAGTGGTAGCTCACTATCCTTTGCGGATTCCATTGCTGCAACTATAACTGAATTTCACTATGAGCCAGCATCTGGTCTCACCTTTGATTCGTGGTACAGCCGTTGGGAGGATAC